ATTTCGGGGCGATGGTTGAAGAAGACCTTGTATGAGTCCAAGAGGGCCTCGTAGGTTTCGTATTGGAGGGGCACGTTGTTGCGTTTTGCGAGTTTCCAGCGGAGGGCGGGGAGGAGGGTTCCCTCGATGTGGATGTGCAGCTCAACCTTGGGGAGGGAGGCGATAAAGGGTGAGATTTCGAGGCCGTTCATGGTTCTCGGTTTATTGGGGTTGGCCCGCTGTCAGATTCCAGGTTCCCGGTTGCTGGTGTCAAGATGAGAAGACAGTGATAGTTGAGAAGTCTGATCGTGTAAATGAAGAGCCAATCAAGCGGGGAGGATATGGCGGCTCGAGACTAGGATGTCTTGATATCTTTTTAGCCTCCACGGGCACCTTTGCCGATCCGGCTGGGCGTCGCGTGGTAAATAGCCCGTCAGTCAGTAGTCATACAGCGCCGGACGTGGTCCGACAACTCGACGATGGATCTCTTCTCGTCGGCTAAGACAATTCCACAAGCCATTTCTCAACAAGCTTAGTTCTGGAACATTTGTATACCTCGGCGTGTGAGAAGCACGAATCATTTTAGACTGGAAACATCAGAATGGAGTTCTGATGGCCGATGTTCGCAAGCAATGTGGGGTTTTCAAGAAGGATTCGATAAGGAAATTACTAGCAACAAGAGTCACAAAATCAAAGACTAAAGTTTTGATCCCCCCATATTCTGCCCATGGGCCAACCATAACCGCCGAGTCGGTATCGAACACCTTTAGTCAATGTCAGCAAATCTGCGCTCGTCCACTCACATGGTCTTCATTCATCTCCAAAATCCGTCAAACGTCCTCTGTTCTCCCCACATCGCGACGGTGCCACGAGAGCTCATTGAACGGCGCGATCGCTGTAGTGCCACTAGCGGAGTAACGTCGTATCTCGTCGGTTCGGATATTCGCCGACAGCACACAAAGGTGGGACGATATCTCCAGGCCAATCCACGCAAGACACTGGAGAACACCGTCTATTCAGCGGAGTCTAGCGGTCGCTAAACCGTTCGCCCACTCCCACCCGACGGACGCAAACGCTTGTCTTATCAATTGACGTCCTGTTATCGGTCATTGTCTAGACATTTTGGTCGGTGAATTTACCGGTTCGCGGCCGTGAAACCGCTCGTTGGACAAGGGGACCGGAGCGAGAGAGGGAGGGAAGAGGAGAAACAGGCGAACGCGTCGGGCCTGTCATTGTCGGGGAAGATCGGCGGAAGATAAGGCACGTAACGTACTCTTTTGCTGTATTTCTTCTTTTGGCCGCGGAAAGGTCGCGACCATCCCCGCCCCCGATACCTTGTTGAATGGCCGCCGCCTCGTTCAAAAGGGCGACGACACCCCGGCGCCGCTCTCGAGATGCGACCCTGGAATTTTCTGTAGGAGCTTCGAGTTCTCGGACAGTAGTCGACGAAGACGATCAAGAAATAGACGATCCAATCGACGAACGGCAGAACCTGCTCGCCAACATGGGGTCATCAATAGACGCACCGCAGAACCCTCCCGCAGAGGTGCAGGATGGGGAGAGGCAACACATTGACAGCGACATGGCCAAGAAGATTGTCCGCAAGATTGATTTCAATATCATCCCGCTGCTCTTCATCACTTACATGTTCAACTTCATGGACAAGACTATTCTTTCCAGCGCCTCTGTATTTGGTCTCAGGACCGACACCGTATGTCGTTTTCCCATTTGGCATCTCATCCACGCTACGACGGTATGTTGCTAACCTCGTGAACAGCATCTCAAGGGCCAGAACTACAGCTGGGTCTCCAGCATTTTCTACTTTGGCTACTTCGCCTGGACCTACCCAACCTCCCTCCTCATCGCCCGCCTCCCCGTCGCAAAGTACATGACCGCAAACACCTTCTTCTGGGGCGCCGTCGTCGCCCTCACAGCTGCCTGCACAAATTACGGCGGCCTGCTCACCGTCCGCTTCCTCCTCGGCGTCGCAGAGGCCACCATCACGCCTGCCTTCATGTTCCTCACCTCCACCTGGTACACCCGCGACGAGATCCCCACCCGCACGGGCATCTGGTTCGCCGGCAACAGCGTCGGCGGGCTCGTCGCCTCCTTTGTCGCCTTTGGCTTCGGCCACATCTCGAGCGACAACAAGGTCGGCCCCTGGCGCTGGATGTACATCATCCTCGGCGTCCTCACCTTTGTCTGGGCTTTTGTGTTGCTCATCTGGCTGCCTGATACCATCTCAAAGGCCCGCTTCCTCAAGCCTGAGGAGCGCCGGTACGCCGCCGACCGCGTCGTCGTCGCTGGCACGGGGTCCACGGAGAAGACGCACTGGAAGTGGGACCAGGTTGTCGAGTGCATGATTGACCCCAAGACGTGGTTCATCTTTGGTCTCGAAATCATTACCCAGATTCCCAACGGCGGCACCCAGAACTTTGCCAACCTCGTCATCAAGTCTTTTGGCTTCACCAGCTTGCAGTCGACACTCATCAACATCCCCTACTCGCTCCTCTCCGCCGCCATCATCGCCGGAACGGGCTGGATCGCGGGCCGCTACCGCAAGATGAACTGCATCCTGATTGCCATTGTCGTTTTGCCGTGCATCACCGGTGCTGCGATCATCTACTCCCGGGAAAGCGTCAGCAACGGCGTCCAGCTCTTTGGCTACTTCCTCCTGTCCCCTGGCCCGGCCGCCATGCCCCTTGCCATGTCTCTTGTCTCGGCAAACTACCGCGGCGTGACCAAGAAGATGACCATGTCGTCTCTGCTGTTCCTCGCCTACTGCGCTGGCAACATTGCGGGCCCGCAGTTCTTCAAGGCCTCCGAGGAGCCGCACTACAACACCGCTTTCCGCACCATCATGATCTGCTACTCGCTCGTCGTGGTGCTGGCGCTCGGTCTGCGATTCTACCTCCAGTGGATGAATGCCAAGCGCACGAGGGAGGAAGGTTATGAGGGTAGCGCTGGCGGTGCTGGTGCTGTTGGTGGCGGTAAGGTCATGCAGGCAGAGGGTACTGCTGGTGATGTCGCGGACATGGTTGATCGGGTTGAGCTTCGGCCTGAGGATTACGAGGATGTAACGGACTGGAAGACCGCCGGCTTCAGGTATCGTCTGTAATAGGTGAAGTGGCTGCTTTGCTGGCAGAGATCTGGGTTGATTAAGCCTCCGTAGATGGATACATAGACCGTTTGCGCTCCTCACTCACCTCTTCTGGGAGATGAGACGTAGGGGTTCACAAACTTAATAGACACTTCGGTGAAACAGTCCTGGCCGCGCCGATTGTTATGTGGTGATGTGAAGTGAGATGATGCGACTGTGCTTCAGTCAAAGTGACCCGCGACATGGTGCTCAACAGCAGCAGCATCACCCTCAAACTCGCCGCAGACAGGGCAGGTCACGGTCTCAGAAACCGGAGTAGGCGCCGCTTCCTGCACCTCAGCGTCAGAGTTCGCAGCCGCTCTACCTCGCCCACCATTCTTCTGCTTAGCAGGCCGAATGTAAGCCTCAAGTCCAACCTGCGCCGAAGGCAACTCAGGCTCGGCATCTTGCCTGCGACCGCCGCCACGGCGGGGAGGTCTACGTGAGTCTCCATACGCGGTCGAGCCGTCGGCGACGTCCGAGGATATAAATGACGGATCTTGTGCTTGCTGCCTGCCATCGGTATGAGACTGAACTCGTCCGACCCGGCCGTCGGAGAGCCGGACTTTGATGCCTCGAGGGTGGTTGCCGCGCGTGAGCACATCCTGGACGATCCCGGAGACGGTGCGGCCTGTGGGTTGGTCTGCTTTGAGTACGATGTTGACGCCTGCACCGCGGACGACGGTGGCTATCGTCGGAACACGAGCCATCTTGAAGAAGATTTCTGTGGAAAGGACAAGACTGTCGGCGGTAATGCCGTTGTAGTTTCGGCAAGGGGGTGTAAGTGGGCGGTGTCGCGTCGCTGGTGATGGTGGCCCTACAGAAAATGTGAGTTTGACGAATGACGCCACTAGCCAGGTGAGGGTTCTGTGGCGCGGCCGATCGCGGTAAATCCGCACTCGGCCCTGCTGAGCAACGTTACATGAACGCGGAAATTTCCAAACTTTTTCATGAATCAGGCCGGGTGGCGCAATGGCAGCGCGTTGCTTTCCGGTGGCAAAGGTTCTGGGTTCGAGTCCCAGCTCGGTCGATTTGTTTTGCCTTGGATACTAACTAGTCTTTTTTTTGTTTATTGATTGACGATTGATGGATGATTGATGTCTGTCTGATGATTCCCGCAATTGATGGGGTGGTGGCCTGGGAACACTCTTGTTTGACAGGGTTGGAACCTTGAGGAAGAGTAACAAAGCTTAGAAAAGGAAGGTACCTTACAGTACCAAGGTAAGGTAGTTAGGTACCTACCTACCCCAACTACCACCGCTCATTGTGGGGCCGTAACGGCTATGCGGACTGTTCACACCGGGAGGAAGGTGCCTGATGGCTCTGAGAACTTCATTCCCGATTATGGGCCGTACCTTCTTCTCACTTTTGCTCATTTACTTCCTCAAGGTATCTCAAGTATCTTTCTTTAGCAGCAGCTCAAGTTATCAGTATCAACTAAATATTCTTCTTGCTCAAGGTCATCCTGATCTTTCACAACTGTCGGCACCCATTTGGCGCCTTCTCGGACACTTCAGCGCCTAACACCTCACCTCTTTCCAACTTTGAACGACCAATCTATAGTTTCATAATCACGTGGCCCTCTTACTGAACCTTCCACTCATCCTCCGACAGCCTGCCTCAGCTATCCTCAAGGTTCTAGCCTTACGCTCAGTACGTATTCTATCTTCAGCATGAAAATTAATGCAATCACCTTTATTCCCAAGTTCGCCATCGTTCAGCACGCTAACTCTATTCTCTACGCACCTCTCAAGAACTTCCACACTTGACACGCTTTACCAGAAAAGATTTCTCCCTACTTACGAACGAAAACTGACTAACAACCTCGTCGTTGACTTTTCTCCTTCCTTACTTTCATTCACCAGCCGTTATCGATTTCACCATGGCTGCCTCTGGCCAACATGCTGTCGGAGAGGTCTGCTACAGTCCTGGGCTGAATGTTTTCAACGACGGTCTGAACTACGCCGATTCTCCCCCGCGAAGCATGATCATTCAAGTGTCCGCGTTTCAGGATCGAGTTGTATCACAACTCAACGCCATGCCGGCCATACGCTGGCTCGACCTCGAGGACAGCTGGAGATTGCCAAGGCCCAATGAAGTGTACACCGGAGGTCAAAAAGACCATCTAAGTGGCCTTTGGATTGGGTGGTTTCTCCCCGATTTCCAGATCCTTGACGACAGTCATCCACATTCCAGCCGTTGGCCTTCCTTGTCCCCAAAACAGTGCGTGAACAATCATACGACACACCCATCCCCTCGTCCCTTCATCAGAAAGGCCTTCAAGGTTGTTTATAAACCAGGTCGGGGGGGGGACACCAAATTCTTTGCCCTCTGTACCCCGGATGCAAATGGTATCTGTCAGGCCAAGGTGGTTCCAGCTGGTGCACGGAACATATTCTTCTTCAAAGAGTGGAGAGATGACGCTGTTCGCGGTAGTTGGGCTCGCCAGAGAACGTGGACGACCAATGCCAAGGCCGGAGCATCCAGGATCTACTCAATGATTAACGCCGCTACCAATCAACCAGTTCACAGCCAGCAACGTACCTCTGAGTCCGAGTATGAACATTGCCTCGAGGAAGAAGATGAAGAAGATGATGACGATGGAGAAGATGAAGAATCCGAGTATGCGGATTCCGAGATTGAAGGATCTGGATCTGAAGAAGAAAACTCGGAAGAAGACTTTGAACAAGAAAGACTACTAGAGTCCCGGCCCGCGTCAAGCCGCAGATCAATCCATGTCAGTCATAACCTGCTGTCTCGGCGCAACACGAACCGCCCTGGACCTGCAGACACTCTCGTGGGCAATGTCGCTACAAATCTCAAGAGAAGTCAGAGTCCTATGCAAAGCCTGAGTTCAAAGAGTGAGAAGAAGAGACGCATTAACCTACAAGTCGAGTCTCCTCCTGACTCGACCCCAAAAAGACATGCACCCTTGGGAGTTGACGAGCCGCTCACTAGTCGACCGGAGAGAGCTCAGCCTGCCAGCAGACCATTCATCAAGAACGAAGATACTCAAGACAGCGATGATGAGATTCAGTTCATCAAGGAGGTCCCAACACAGAGACCTCAACAGATGACCACTAAAGTCGAAGCATTTACTGTGGCTTCATCTGAGACAAGCATCACCTACATCAGCAAGTTTGTTGCAGCGGGAAAGCTTCTCCAGCTGGCGCGTCTTCCCGATACTTTCTCTCGAAAGATTATGCTTGAATCCTTCAGCAAGCATTTGAAGTCGACGAACTTGGCACAGTTCGATGCCCTAGTCAAGAACATCGTGGACTCTGCGGAAGAAGGCGTCCGCGTCATGATCGCTGAGACGCTGCAAGAGCAATTGAAGGGCAGATTGCCTGTCGTCAGTGGTGCTTAGGAAGTAGGGACATCATCTTTTAGGGATCGTGGGACCGCGATGAATAATTGGGTCCTGCTTGATTCATCATCATCAGTGTCTCGACAAAAAACACAATCCAAGACCCTAACTAAGGACGGCCGAGTGTCTCAAAGCCAGGATGAGCGAGATGATACCCCCATCAGCGCTTGGCTCTGGCACGGATTCGAAAAGTAAGCTGGCATTGGGAAAGAGGGGTGACTTACACATGGGGATTAGTTTACGCGAATCAAGATAGAGAGCTGGCCCGCCGCTGATAATGAGTTCGAGAGAATTGAGAAATTTCATTGCTGTTTATGTCGAAACTCCAGTCCGGCTCAATGTTTCCTGCCTTTAAACAGCAAATGCGTCAACGTGAAACCAATCCTGGATGGACGTCTGGAACCTTTGACGTTTGCACAAGTCGAAGCAGCAAGAAGGCTCTTGGAGAAATTCAAGTTCCCCTTTTCAGTCATAAAGCAACGTCTTTACATTAGTCGACCTGATCACTCCTTCTTACCATAGTCTCACCAGTTTCTTCCTTGTTCCCCGTATCTGCATGATCGACCAGAAGCCAACTCTGTGACGGACCGGGAAGGGGAGCTTCCTTTGCCCACAAGATCATTACGCTTTTCGGTCTTCCCTTGGTAAAGGAAAGCGCTGTGGACTCGACTTCCTTTCAAGATTGTGTCTGAGGCATCTACAGAGTCCTTTTCTCCTTCCTTCTGTACCTCTGCAACTTGTTACCTACATACTCTTTCATCCTCTGCAGCCCGCATTCTTCTCTCCAACCTCACTCGATTGAGAATCAAATCCTGTTCCTTCCTTTCAAAGAGGCTGACAGAAGCTTCAAGAATGGCAGAAAGTAGCGGAAAGGCGCCCAAGGTAGCCGACAAATACGCCTGCGCTCCCCCAGCATATTTCATTCCTAATTTCCAGCGAGAATGGTTAGACTTGGCCGCCAAGCTCTTCAACACCGATGCTTTGGACAATCTCTTGAGATCTGAAGAGAAGAAACAAGCCCTAGCACTGATCGCCATCCCCATCACTGGTTCGTCCTTTGGGAACAAGTCCAGAGCCCAGGCCCTCCACAGAACGGTCAGCCAAGCGCGGGGGATGGGACAGGGCAAGCGACCTACCGCCAGAGTCACGATTATTGCAGCTCTCCTCATCTACACGCTGGAGCCTCCGCTAACTTGGCGGGAATGGGCGATCATACAGCAACCACTTGGTGTTCTGCGATATGTTCGGGACTGTGCTGACGGCCTCAGTATTTACTTGTCGGAGGGTATGTTGAAGACAGCATTGGCACATTCTCCGGCAGCATCCGCCCAAGATCATTCAGACAGCTTGTTTGTTGTCGACAAGCCTTCGTTGAAGGAAGCCAGCGCCAATAAATCCAGCATTGAACATTTGGAACCTGCTCAGCTCAACTCAGATCATCTAGCTCTACCGGCTATGAGACCTTGGATGCGCTTCATTACCAAGCTCACCACACCTTCGCCGCCGAGCAAGAAGCGAAAGGCGGAATCTGAGTCCCCTCAAGACAAGAAAACTGTACCGAAGAAGAAAGTCGCCAGTCCAAAGAAGAAGGCGGCCACCCCAAAGTGGAAGACGATGGCTGGATCGGGAACCAATCCCATCCCAAAAGCCAAGAACCCCAACGTCAGCTCAAATATGCCAACCAGAGGTGCCATGTCGATAGCTAATCTTCATCCTACTCAATAGACTCGAATTACTGAAGCTGTGAAGCGACAGCAGCCGATCGATAATGCCTTGTTGGCCAGATACATGAAAAGCGCCCCCATGCTTGACAGAATTGCAGATTACAATGACGGATCCGTCCGTCGAGTTGCTCTTGGCAGTTTTCTCAAAGACTTGAAGAGCTCCGGCTGGGAAGATCTGGAGAAATGTACCTGGCAGCTCATCAAGGACGACGACTATGAGTCTCGCGCGTTTCTCGCAGAGGCTATTATGAACGACGTCTATAAGCGCATCAATGAGTTTTTCGAAGACGTCCCGCAGCCCCCGCAGCTCACAGAGCCCCCGCAGCTCGAAGATGCCACACATCAACCCGCGCAACGGCCCACGGAAGCCAAGCAGACCGCACAACTCAGTCTGGATGAGCAACCTATGGATACACCAACGAAGCAGAGAAGCCGGTCCGGGCCCAAGCATGGTAAGAAGTCAACTCAGACCAAGAAGCGTACCACACAGATAAAGAGGCCCAAAATGAACACGTTGGATGAGCATAACACACCTACGAAGCAGGCAAGCCGGCCTTTGAGATTCTCTCCCAGCAGTCGTATGTCAGATGACGTTTTCAACGACACTTCACCTGTATCTGCCGCCTCACCAGCGGCGGGTCGGCGGCACCCCAATTTGGCCTCCCCGCCTCGCTTCAACATTCGAGGAATATTGTCCAAACGACTGAAGTCGAAGGACAATCAGATTTGAGTGGCATCCTTAAGTCCAGTCTTTGAGAACTGGCAACATTCTCCAATGCTTACTTGCACTTCGAGCCCTGGCGATTGAGGAGGCTTTATTATGTACCTGTATTGGGTAGCCGAAAATGGCTACGAGAGGAAGAGGCCCCTGTGTGGACTGGGGGTGAGGATACTGGCATGAGAGAACGTATTGTGGCTAACGAGTGTATGCTTTGAGAAGGATGAGATTGCTGGTAGTATGGGGATCATCATGTCACCATGTCGCCGTGTCGCTTTAGCCAGCTTGATGTAAGATAGATAACGATTGAATCAAGAACCACAGTGAGTTGGGCCTTTGACTGTGACTGACTTCGATATCACGTCTGAGGACACCGCCAGAGACAGACTTTTGGCGCGGAAGCCGAGAGTACGCAGTCTCAACAAAAAAGCTACGAGTTTAAAATTTCCGTTGGTGACAGATGAGATGAAAAGTTTGTACGTTTGGCACCAGATCTCGCACCTGAAAATACCCCCCTCGATCGAAGTGTTGTTTCTTTACATGTGAGCTGAGCCTTTCATGAGTGAGACGTTGCTTTGCTGATGTAATCAACCACCGTAATTTGTTTCGGCTTGCTCTTCATTGGCCACCTCCACAGGATGTGTGGGGCATGACTGCCTGAAAGTCACTGGACTTCGCGACACCCGTCGCCACTTTCCTGACGCGCTCTCCCATTTAGCGGCGATCCCTCCCGCCGAGTCGTGACGCCGTCAACGAGGGTCCTTCCCCCCTCGTCGATCCGACATGACTCTCGCCTCCCTTTGCAATGTCTTCCTCCTTTTCGCTTGATTCAGACGATGAATATGGCTACGATCTTTCTTTGGAGGATGAGACGTTGCTGAGCCAGCTCATCACTGATAACCCCGCCCCCACCTCAACCTCATCGCGGAACCCCGCCGCTCCAGCGATCGCTTCAGACTTTGGCATTGACACCGTCGCCGAGCAAGAATTTTGCCTTGACGATGCTCCCACGGATCTTCTCTCATATCGCACGACTGGCACAGCCAAGGGCCCTGTACGACCTAGCCGGAGTCGCTCAAAGGCGACCCTTACCGACGATACGAAGCAGTCAGATCTTCCCTCGGCGTCACCTGGCCACTCCGTCGCCTATCCGGATTGTGAGTGTTACTTTGCGAGGCAAGCTTCTGCTCAAACTGACTGACGTGAAAGCGCTTAGTGAGCAGGGCCCTTTCGAATAACAATATTGCCCCCTCATCACCAAAGCCGAACGAGAAAGCCACCCCTGATCCCGAGAATGATACCCGATCGCCGCTTGTTCGATTCCGATCGTATCCCCGGAAGCCATTCACCGTCACCGACTTGACCTCGGGTGCTTGGTGCGAACTACAATACTTCTATACCCTCACCCGCCTACCATATGGTCGGAAGACCCGGACAGCGGCGATGAAGCAGGGAACAAAGGTACACCAAGACCTCGAAGACGAAGTACATACAACGGTCCGCGTCGAGATCGCGAGTAAAGAAGATGGCTTTGGTCTCCGGATGTGGAACCTCATTCAGGGACTTCGAACACTCCGTGAGACCGGCATGACCCGTGAGCTCGAAGTATGGGGATTCGCCGACGGAAATCTGGTCAATGGCGTCATCGACGGTCTGAGCTATGAGAATCCGGATCCGGAGTTCATGGAACAGCTGAGTCAGGAGTCTGAGCAGAACCAGTCCAGCATAACCGACTACTTTCCTTCGAAGAAACAGGCGGACATACCTCAGATATACCTGACGGATGTGAAGACGCGTGGGTCTATGAAGGCCCCCAACAGCCCTGCGTTACTGCGGCCGGCCAAGGTGCAGCTCTTCCTGTACCAGCGTTTCCTGTCAGAAATGGCAGCGGATAAGCTGGACTACCTCCGTATCTTCCGGCGGTACGGTCTGGATCCAGATGAGCCGTTCTCCGACTCATTCATTGCCCAGATTGTTAGCCTGCACGACGAACTGTTCTTCGATGTGGATTCCTCTCCTGACGGGGACTACATTCCGCCGTCTCCCACTACAACAACGTTCGATACTGAAGCTGATGGCGCAAACCGGAAAACATCAGCGCCGGACTTCATCAAGTACAGGACACTGAGGGAATTGCTCCCTCTTCTCGTATCAGAGTTGCGCCAAACCTTCCCTCATGGCGCCGACTCCGTGGGCAGGCTTCTCGCTGTGGAGTACAGGTACCGCGGAGACGGTTCGCTCATTGATAGCCAGGTCTTCCCCATGGATGATCGGGCGCTGAACCTCTACTTGGGTAACACGATGGAGTGGTGGCGAGCGGACCGACAACCGCGGGGTGTGCAGATTGAGGAGGCGTACAAGTGTCGAATGTGTGAGTTTGTGGGCGACTGCACATGGCGGTCTGCCATGGATGAGGAGAGATTGCAGAATACTAGGCAGCGTTTGGCAGGCAGGAGTAAGAATGTTACAAGTGGGTGATACTGCGATATCGCTTCCGTTTTGCGTCTGGGATGGCATTTTCTTCTTTGCGAGGCGCATTATTCGGCTAGGGCCCACATTACACGGGATTCAAGAATCAGGATAGCTTATGAATATGAGTTGATGATCTACATATCAAGACAACATGTGTCTCTTGCTTCCCTGAAAGATGGTCTGCAACACGGGTCTACTTTCGACCTAGCCTTGTGACTATCTTAATAGAATCCTACTGATCCTTTTCCAATAAACGCGAAGGCACTGGGGCCCAGGCCGCCGCCTTCCCGAGTCCTTCAGTTAGTAAATCGGTGAATGTCTTGGTGATGTTGAAAATCATTCACCCTTCAGTACCTGAGGCCCACCCCTCGCGCCAGACCTCCTTTCTCAAACAGTGGGATTCAAGAGAAGGCAAGAACACTAGTGCCTTCCTCCTTCTTCGGCACCGCGAGGCTTGACCTTCGTCCACAATTTCCTCCCACACAACAGTCTTTAAGGCAGGCTTCCGTATCTCGGGGAGCGGTCTCCTGGTATCATCTTGACTTGGCCAGCCACTCCCTTCTACATCAATACTTCCCAATTCCAACCCCAATAACACCGACGATGGGCGCTAAGGAGGGAACAGACCCCAAGATCCTAGAGCTTGTGAGCTCTATCGAGAACAAGCCGTCTTGCGAGAACTATGAGCGCATGGTCTCAGGCATGATGTATGACCCTCTTGACCCTATCTTCAACCAAGACCGCCACAGAGCCCGCTGCCTCGCGCGCGACTTCAACGAGATCGACCACCGCCAGAACACCCTCCAGGAGGTGGGCAAGAAGAAGGAAGAGATTCTGCAGCACCTTCTGGACAAATTCGGCGAACAGTCATTCATCGAGGCCCCTTTATTAGTCGATTACGGCTGCAACGTCATATTTAACTCCAAGTCCTTTGCCAACTTCAAGTAAGTCCTACCGGTGCTTCAAACATCTGATCGCTTGAATGTCAGGAGAAAGAAAGAGTGTGTTCTAACGAATATGTGCAGCCTGACCATTCTCGACGTCGGTCTCGTCACTATTGGCAACTGTGTTCAACTCGGTCCCAATGTCAGCATCTACAGCGCAGCCCAGAACACGAGCATTCTTTCCCGAATGAAGTGCGAGGAATATGGCCTGCCGGCGACCATCGAAGATGATTGCTGGATCGGTGGCGGTACAATCATTCTGGCTGGTGTCACCATAGGATCAGGCACGACTATTGGTGCGGGCTTCATTGTGACAAAGAGCTTGCCGCCTCATTCGGTGGCGGTGGGCAACCTTGCCAGGGTCACCAAGAAGGTGCGAACACTGGAGAAGGAGATGGTGATTTCGAACAAATGCATCAAAGAGTAAACTGATCAGGAGACTCATTGGCGGCATAAAGAGGCGTTAAGTCACGAGTGGTGACACAGAATCGCTTTGCTGCCGAAGGGGCATTTACATGTTCCGGTAGTCGATGGTGATACAGAGTTCTTCAGATCATAGCAATGAAAGGAGGTTTACCCAAACGAGTAGACAGCAACGACGTGATAACTCAACACATGAATGGCTCTCTCTTCCTTGTTAACGAACAGTCATTTGCAAATCTCAACGTATATCTCGAGATCTTCTCGATTCAAAAATTATATCTAAGCGCAATTATTGATATGAAAAACCTTTCCTGAAGCAACAGGAGCATGGACATCTGAGTATAAGAATATATACATTGATTCCTTTAGTAAGGCTCTTCTGCTTGATCAACACCATCGCTACTCCAAAGTCGCACCCAGAAAGACCAGCACTCAATACTTTCACTTCACTCCCATTGGACATTCGCAACATGGAGTTCGCAATTTATGAGCCCCGTGTACCTTCAGCTGAGCAGATCGATAAGCACGTCACTGTCAGCCAGCGTCTCGATGAGTACGAAACACTCCTTAAGGAAAGGGCCACCAAGATCATTGAGAGAAAAAATGAAGAAGTCAAGGATTGGCTGGCATTCTCTTGTAAAGCGGAGGCCTACGGAAGACTCGAAGCTGATTGCAGCATCCTCCGCACTTCTCGGCACTTGGCCATCCGAGACAAATTTTTGGAGCAAAAACTGACGACCAAGGACCTAGACGAATACTTCAAGCGCATGGGACACCTCGATCATTTCCTGGCAATTCTGCGCCTGCAGCACTCTGATTTCGTCTTCGAAATCTCCGATGCTCTCCTTGACGACAACAACCCAAATCCCTTTTCGGATGAATCTCAGAGGGCCACAGTGAGAAGGCTCAAGGACATCTTCCTGACCTGGAAACCTGTCAACAAGGTACACGATATTATGAAATTGGCGGAGGAATACAAGATTGAGGTTCCAGATGTTAATGATGAGAAGGCGTGGGAGAGAGAGCGGGAGTTACTGCAAAGAATTGTAGATTTCCAGAAACATTATGATAAGAAGAGAGAAGAGGACAGACGAGAAAATGCCAGGAAGCGATTGAAAGAGGAGCGAGAACAGCGAGGGTCGTCCGCTTGAGTTGTCAAACGTAAGCTTGCGTCCACGACTAAAGCTTCTCGCCGAGCTGAGGTGCCTCGTTAGCCTAGAAGTCACAAAGCCTTAGCGTGCGTCCCCAAATCTCAACCTGTCATAATACGGCTCCCCAATAAACCCCATTCTACAACTCACCATCCTCAAATTGACTCTTATTTTTCTCGCCTTCTTTTCACTTCCCGCTTTGCTCATTGCTCTTGTCTCTTCCAATCACTGTGGACTGACTTTATTTCAATTGTCTCTACTCACTAATATTGAAAATTCACCAGGCATAGATAGATTGTTTGTTACTGCCGTTGTAAGATGATTTCCCAGACGCATGGTCAACGAATTACTATGAGCAGGCATATCGTATCGATAAGATGAGTGTTCGATCCCCTTGACCAAGGAAGAAACTATGGTTTCTTCCATGAGCTTGCCTGAGCCTCGATAAGGCGCTCAAGATACTCCTCCTCGCATAGAGTCCGACGCCTGCTGACAACGTGGAAAACTAGTTCTGCGACCAAGTCCCGGTTCCAGATACCGAGGACGCAGGGCTGATTGGTCGATCGAATTGGCCAGTGAGCTTGGTTCCATTGGCAACTTCGAGCGTGATGGATTGAGTTCCGACCGTGCCATCAAAATCGCGACTGCTAGTCAAACTCCTAAGTGACTCATATTCCAGAGTCGCTTCGTTGGATGTGAAGTCTGGAACGGCCGGGCTGATGGTTCCACTGAAGTGGTACTGAACATCATCGATAAGGAATGTCGAAGTGAATTTGCTTCCTCCGGCAACACCCTTAATGTATCCTCGTGCGGAAGGCATCTGGAGATGTCAAATTAGTGTTGATCTGATTCATCATTGATGTTAGTCGGGCACGTACCTTTGCGTATGAGAATTAAAGCTGATGTGGGAATCTCGATAGACGATGCAATTTAGAGATGACGAGAGTGTGAGATGAATCAGTGAAGATGGGATAGTATCGCTGTCCAAATGTCCCCTTTTTATTATTTTTCAACAGTCTCTATTTACTGGCCGGCTCGGCCTGAATGAACTTAATCGTGATATTAGACAGTATGCACGGCTTGAAAGGATCATCCCTTGTGCAGGCTTCTCAAGCAAGCAGCACTGTCTAACTTGGATATGTGGACGCCGATCAACTGCTAGTACTAGCTCGCATCTGGACACATCTTTCACTGCACATTCGTGTAAACGCAAAAGAGCTAAAGCTGAACTGAAACAGATCACTCCACTTTAGCAAACATCGTAAACGACACCAATCAAGTGCAGCATCCTATCGTAGGTGCTTGAAAATCGAATTCTCAACACTTTCTTTTCCCCTTGAAGACTGTTAGGATGTCAACTTAATTCTATGCTCACTGTTTCATTGAACCTTGGCCTGTCTGGTCTACCTATGCAGATGACAGGTGTGGCTTCAACATACACCGCCTTTGACACCTTGCCTCATGGTTATGGGCTGCCGTTGCGGTACCTTCTAAGTGAGACTATCCCTATAGAGGAAGTTTCGGCGAACAATCAGACAGTCCAAAGGGCACCAATGCGGAGACAGTCAGAAACCTGGTTGACTACTTACCATGCCTTGGTGAGATTTGATTTTCGCCTTCATCACGTCAACTATGGTGCCTGAAGCGTGCAGCATGGCCAATGAAAACGAGTAGAATCGCCATCACGTATGGCAGTGTCTTTACGGCAGTCCAGGGTGGCTGGTGAGGGCTCACGCTTGAAAAGATTTTGACTGCTTAAGCAGAAAGTTCAACATCACAGATATGACTGTTGACTGGATGCAATCATTTGCTGTTGCAGGTCTGACTTGATTAGTCGCCACTCCTTGGTCGAATGGCGTCATCGCCATGTCGAGCTCAAGGCGTGTATTCTGACTATGCTGCCACAGATGCTGCCAGTGTCTCAGCCATAATGACACCAAATAGAGTGTCGGTGTAACTTTCTGTGCCGGATAAGCTGATCACTCGTGCCAAATACATGCCATCTCGAAGTGGCTTTTGCTTGCTTGGAAATGATGTGTTTTTGATACCTTTGTCAAAATCCTAGATACGGCCTGAACCAACAGAGTCACGTTGTGGTCAGTTGCAGAGTGTTAGCAGCCCCGAGAGAACTCCTCAGCTGGGACTTGCAGGATTAAGTTAAGATTGCAGCAGTGATCCAATTATTCTAGAAAAAGACTATGCACCGGGCGGTTGTCTCTGGGAAATGCGTGTGCATTTACCGACCTGCAAAATCACTGGCGATATTGACTGCAAGAGCTTCATTGACGTGTCTATTTGAAGATGAAAGACTGACTGGCTGCAGTCAGATTTAAATTGGCAGCTTAGAAGGAAAACTGGTTTCGAGATTTCCAGGAGGTTTTGCCGCTACTTCTATACACTGGTTTTGAACACCACACGACCCTCCCCCCTCTCCCCTTTACAATATACATCTCTCAGGGACATGAAGTAGTGCTAGTTCACACAAGCTATGACATGCACTCACTCGCTTTCTTGCCAGAATAACTCTCTGATTTTACTCGTAACACAATTGTGTATCCCCTTGCCACGGAGATCTCCGTGATAAAGATGTTTGGTTACATCATATGGAAAGAGGTATGGGAGCTCCTTTGTAACGTAGATAGGTTAGACCGGGAGTGCCGTTGGTACTTTGGCGGCAAGGATAATTTGCAGTCAGGGCGGATACAGGCAGCCGACGGAGTCATGGAATCGTTGACAAGGCCATGGAAAACTACTACGGCGGTTGCTAGGCAAGCATTGAGAATGTGAAGATGGCGTGGTCTGTCAACCGAATTTGCGAAAGAAATGACTAGTTTGGATGTAGTCTTTCGCGATGTCGATGGTCGAGCTATGGACGTTGCATGATGTTTGCGTCGGGTGGAATAAGCTACAAAGTCTGCGATGGGGCTGACGAGTAACCAACAGCAGATAAGGGCATGCGTCGACAGCAAATGAGCCCAGTAAGGATAAGAATTCGCTATCTCGAAATAGAATATTCAATTGTTTGCTCTTTTGACAAGGTCAGTCAATGAGCCAGAGTCGCTAACAATCCGTCTGGTGTCATCCAACCAATTGGCAGTGGCCATGTTATAACCAATTGAGCTTTGCTGCCATGATATGCTCTTTGGGGGTAATGCTCCTTGCCAACGACATGGTCCAGAGCGATGTTGCCCCGCAGCCGTGCCGCAATGATTGTTAAGCGAGACAGGCCGATGGGATTGACAAGGTTGTATCTAGAGAGGCCACGTTCCACATGATCGGGAGCGATATAGTGAGGGGTAGTCTGCCTTCTATACCTTGGGAAACCGCCATCCACTAAAGCTTTGGATATTGCTATCTCGATTGCAAGCCGGTCTTGAGCCAGGACTTCACAGGAGCGCCTGAATCCACCGAAGCCTAGTAAACGGTGTTCGTTCAAAGCTGAGATCATGCAGGAGCCCCAGAATGTAAGAAAAGCATGAATAGGATTGTTATTTGTAGATCTCTGGGTCGTATGCTGATGAGATTTCGGATGAGTAGCCAGCCACGCCAGCGGATGACCCGACATCGGAATATGGGGATGATGTGAGTCTTATTGTTTCATTACATTAGCAGTGACACATGCATTTACAATTGCCTGACATTCCGACAGCATTCCGAGCATTCGTCGCTAGCCTCTCTTAGATCAAGTATCCTCGAGCATCAAGCTGAGAATGGACGGACGTATCATTCCATGAGCTCGGGAAGTATGTATTCCCATCATTCAAGCTCTGCGAAAGCATATCCTAATGTTTTGAGCAGAGTATAGCTTCCCCAATGATGAGGTGAGCAACACATTGATCCTGGGTCTGATGCTATTCTAACAGAAATATGGCTGAAGCCTGAGAATGACCGTCTTGGTGAGCGACTGCTTCGTCTTTATGGCCTTGGGCACAAGATTCCCGCGAGTTGCTAATCGACCCTAGATTTGCAACATCGAATCTGGCTGCTACAGCTCGAGGAACAGTTAGCCCTGTGTCCTGCGCACAGAACCGCAAAACGGGTGTTGGATATGGGAACCGGAACCGGAATCTGGGCCATTGATTTCGGTTCGTCATGCTCAATTATGGAATCACGGTTTTGTGCCACTGACACGTCGCTTTAGCGGACAAATTTTTGCATGCAGAGGTTGGAAGATAAGTTTCCGAGGCAACTGGATGATGGAGTCTGACATTCAGTAGGTCATTGGCGTTGACCTGAGCCCCATTCAGCCTGAGTGGTATGTTGACGTTCTTCAAATCAACTGCGTTAGCATCTTACTTATCATTGGTTTAGGGCGCCTCCGAACTGTGTGTTCGAGGTCGACGACTTAGAAAAGCCATGGACCTGGACCGAGCCCTTTGACTTCATCTACTGCAGAAGTATGGACGGCGCATTCGCGAACAAGGAAAGTATGATTAAGAAAATTTACAAGTAAGACAACCCTTCTTACCCAATGCGCTGGTTCTTGCGCTTTTGCTGAACATCACGCCTGTCTCACGTAGTGGCTTGACTCCGGGAGGTCATCTTGAAGTCGCGGGACTCGAATTACCGCCTGGTTGCGACGATGCTTCAGTTCCCAAGGACTCTGACTTGTGGAAGTGGCACGAGCTGCTACAAGAAGCCGCGACAAAGATCGGACGGCCGCTGGAGAGTCTGGCCCATAACAAGGCGGACCTAGAGAACGCTGGCTTTATCAACATTGTCCGTAAAGACTACAAGCTACCTCTCAACACCTGGCCTGCGGATCCCCATCTGAAAAATCTCGGAAAGTGGCAATTTGTCAACCTCAATCTCGGTCTCGAGGGGCTGTCCCTTGCTCTTCTGACCCGTGTTTTGGAATGGTCCAGAGAAGAGGTTCTTGCCCTATGTGCAGGCGTTCGGAGAGATCTGAAGGATAAGAGAATACACGCTTATTGGAAAATGCAAGTTCACGCCTCGCGTTCTGCTGTGGGCTTTTTATGCTAACATTTTCAGTCACGTTG